ACTCCTTTTTAACAGACACTAAAAAAAAAATAAAATAATACTGCTATTTCAAATGAGGTGTGAGATTTTTTCCATGAACTGCAGAAATCATAAAGCTTCCTATCAATTAATTAAAAAAAATACATTACTGATTATACCTTCACAAGTGCAAAGGATTGGCACAATTGCTAAAAGCGTTTCTCTCTCAGCTCCTATTGATGGTACTTTGATGATCTTCCCCCCCAATAGTGTAGTGTAGGAGCACCTCATAATCAATTTATATCCCCAACATGCTCATGAAAGTGAAAAATACTATTAATCCCATTTCAATGTCGATGATTTATGCTTGAATAATTGGAGGACTCTTAATTACTGAGCAAACCACCTGGCACTGGATTTTTTCCACTATGTTTATTACCATGTTCTCATGTACCTCAGAAATCACTCTCGGTTGCACAGTTTCTGTTCTCAAACTTTTTTTTTTTTTTTTTGCTTTATCGAGTGTGATGCCATATCAAGTCAACGTTATTCTCTCACAATGTGCTCTTTAAGAGGTGTGGATGTTTATATGGTCAGGGGATGCTAGAAAGTGCGGTAGTAGACATGATCAGTGTAAACAAAAGTATTTAGAAAGTATGTGAGATTGTTTTTGATGGATAAGACTCGGATACAGTGTAGTCTCGATTACCTTTTAAAAGGTCTTCTTTGTTCAGTGTTGTCATTTTTATTAATAACCTGTTGTTTTGACTAGTTTAAAGATGGTTCTAAGAAAAGTGTTTTGGCAGGATTAGGTATGGTGTATGGACAATAAACTCACCTTGACCTATATTTGCCTGTCTTGGTTTTATTCATTCATTGTAAAGATGGTGCAGAAGGAGAAGTGATTCTAAAGCCTCTTACATAGGCAGATGGTGTTAGCAGGCATAGAAAACATGAACTATTGAATGTTGCAGTCACAGAAGAAGTTTTCCTCTACAACGTAGCTCATTGCCTACTGGATAGGCAAATTCTGGCATGTTGCTTCTGTGAAACAGTCCTGTGAGATTTAAGGAGAGCAAAGTCCTAAAAACGGTAAGTTGCTGGATCAAAGCATTTTGTGGAATTTTAACTGAGCTGGTGGAAGAGTCCTCGTTAGTATACAGCATGCACATTTTTGCAACTAATTGCAGTATTATTTAAGCCACCACTCAGTTATTTGTCACATTTAAAAAGCTACTGCAAAAACTGTGTTGTTCTTCTTTCTGTAAGCTTTGGGCAAACTGAGTGAAAGGAGAGGGTTTGTGGTGAAGCCAGAGGGAAGAAAGGAGCCTCCATGTGCCCAGACTCCTTCCTCAGCCTGCAGCCAGGAGGCAGGGTGCTCTCCCTCTCCCATATCTCCTGCTTGTGGATGCTTGATGTGAAGTGACCAGCCTCCTGTGTGATGTGCTTGGCCTGACCTCGGCGTGTCTCCTCCACTGTGATCCGGTAGCAGTCTTCTGCTGAATTTCAGGCCTTTGAGTACCCCTGGGGAGAGCAAAGAGGAACCAAAGAATGAAGAAGAGGTATTTGGGCAGACACACTGGTGAATAATACAGCCAAAAACAGAGAAGAGAAATGAAAACAGGAAAAAAAAATGGGGGGGAAAAACCCACCAAGATGTGATGAACAGGGAGAAGGAAAAATACTTAAAAGTCATCCCATGCTGACTTCGGTCCATACATACAGACCTCTAGCTTGAGTAACACTATGAGTTTTCTGTGTGGGAGCATAGCTTGGAGTTCATGCATTTCTGATGCTCAGAACAATATTAATAGCAAGGTTATGACTAGTTCTGGGCTCCCCAATTCAAGAAAGGCAAGGAACTACTGGAGAGAGTCTAGCAGAGGGCTACAAAGGTGATCAAGGGACTGAAGGATCTCTCTTTTGAGGAAAGGCTGAGAAACCTGGATCTGGAGCCTGGAGAAAAGGCCAAGAGGGGATCTCATCAATGCTTATAAATATCTAAAGGCCGGGTGTCAAGAGGATGGGGCTGGACTCTTTTCCACAGTGACCAGTGACAGGACAAGAGGCAATGGGCACAAACTGAAACACAGGCAATTCTGTCTGAACGTAAGGAAAAACTTAGTTACTTTGAAGGTGACAGAACGGTGGAACAGGCTGACCAGAGAGGTTGTGGAGTGTCCTTTTCTGGAGATACTCAAAACCCGCCTGGATGCGTTCCTGTTCAAGCTGCTATAGGTGAACCTGCATTGGCAGGGGGCTTGGACTAGACGATGTCCGAAGGTCCCTTCCAACCCCCACCATTCTGTGATTCTGTGAAAAACACATGTTGCTAAAACGAAGAAACATACAAGCAAAAATAAATAGATATGAATAAATAAGAAAAAAATCATAGATGGTATAGGAACTAAGAACTAAATCACAAGGTTGTGAGTCAGGAGATAACAGACCTTTCTAGCCATAATCACGCAACCTTTGGGAGCTGTGGCTTCAGGCAAAGTCTCTTAAGATTTCTCTCCAGAGTGACCTGTGAGCCTCATATTTCACAGGTTGTCTGCACCAAAGGTAGAAATTTTAAAGCATTACAAGTACTCCTGTTCCTCTGGCCACCATTTAACAACATGACCAGCAATGTGCAGCATTTCATAGGTGTAACTCAGAGCCTAAGAAGAACTGGAACTTGCGAGGGTTGTTCTTATACCTTCCATTTGTGGTTTAAAGCTCAAAGGGATACTCTCCAGCCTAATTTCAGGTTTTGGGGGATTATTTCCTGTCTCATTATAGTGTCACCAATAGTCCTCCTGGAACTGCAGGGATGTGCTCCACAGCTTTGTGTTTTAAGAGGTTTTACTAAAGCTAGATTTAGCAGAAAAGAGATTTTCTGTTGTTGTTTAAGTAAATGTATGTTTTCAGAAATAGCGGATATAGGGTGCAGAGGCTAAAATTGAAATTAATTGGACAACAGCCTGTTCCCTTCCTTTAAAGAAAGCTGGCTGAATGCTGAGAAGCCACATACAATAGGGTTAAGTTCCATTATTATGTGGCCTGTGAAACCATTTTGTATTGTCATCTTCTTACCATCTGCAAACAATTTCTGCCCATCATGATCCTATACTTTACATAAGGACAGCCTGAGGATTTTAAGGAGGGACAACATAGCAAAATAATGCTTTAAAACAACTGCATGCTGAACTGACTTTTGTGTTTAAGAAAACTGTGGAGGCAAAAAGAAAAAAGCTTTAGTATTGAGATTTCAGAAGAGAAAAACACCACACAATTGCTCAGTGTTTCCAATCTCAGTACACGAGTTAGATTGTTTCATTTTATATTTCCTCAAGTCTTTCTGTAGGGACTAGAAATGGAGTTTATCTTTCTAGGCAGGGAATTTTCCTTCGTGTTTCAAATAAGGCATCCTAAATGCTTGTTTCAGGGGTCTTTTCAAACACTTCTATTGCAGTTGCTATATTTTTTAGTTTGCCCATGAACTATGTAGCCACTCTCTGTTCTGTGCTGCTCGAAAAGAGCAAAATTCCCTACAAATCTCATGCAACCAGCACAAACAGAATAAAATTCTATCTCTGCTGAAGACAGTGGGAGCTCTGCTGTTGACTTTTAATAGGTTTAATAGTTTTCCCACCAACTCCAGTTCATTCTTGCTTCATACTGTAAATTACCAGTCACATCAATAAATGCGAAGCTGATGTAAAGGCAGGTAGAATTTCTGGAAAGTTTGGCCAAGTCATTTCCTTCTTTTCAGCAGGAAAAGTCAGAATTTAGCTGCCAAGAGGTATGAGAGGTGTGGAGTCCATCTTTCTCAATATGGTGTTAAACTTTGAGCGTTACATCGGTGCTTCATCCTATTAAAATCAGCACACAGGACTCCCTAGGTCACTGAAGCCCCTTGTCTGCAGTCACAGCCCATCAGTCACCCATAGTCTGCCTGGAAGGACGCACAGGAGGATGCATAAATGACAAGCATTTTGAAACATACCGTAACTTGAACATCCTATGGGTAAAAAGCAGAAGAGATGAAGGACACCTCACGTGCACTATCAGACACATGGACTGCTTAATGGCAACATAGATAATAAGGTAGAAAAGGTGTATTTTGATCTTACATTTCACAGGGAAGAAACAGGCCAGGAAAAGGGTATGGCTTTGCTCATGCAGGCAACTCTATTGCGACTTTCACACCCTTCTGCGGTCACTTGCAGGCATGAACATAGAGTTGTTGCATTCAGTTTTTAGAGAATTATATTAGAGCCTTCTCTGCACTGTTTGCAAATCGAAGCCAGCCAGCTGGCACAAAGGGAAACAGGCTATGCTCTACTTCTTTGCCCCCCACAGCACACTGAATCATTTCTCCCAATTAAGGGAAAGTTTATTTAAAAAAGGCTTTGGGGATCCCTTTAGATCTTTGGAGAAAGCTGGCTGTACCACATCTACTTTGTCCTTCCTTGAAATATTACTCCCCCCTTTAATTTTTCTTAATATAATGATATATTTAAAAGGGTTCTCAAAGGTGATTTGCATTTCAGCTGTGTGCAGCTGCAGGGGCACAGGTATCACAATATTCTTACACCAAAAAGTGTGTGGCAGCTTGTGTTCCCGCTGATGCTGGCAGGATTTTTTTTCGAGGGTCTTGGTACAGACCCTTGTCAGGCAGAACTTCAGGCCAGCACTCAACTGGGCTTCAGGTGCACTGTGGGAAAGGGCACACCTCGGTAGTAGATATGTTAAATCAAGACCTGTTAAGTTTACAAGTGAAGGTGAGTAAAGCTGAGGTATTTACACTTAGGTATAAGCTCCGTGTGCAATATGCCTGGCCTGGGGGGCTGCTCTGAGTTCTGCTGCGACCTGCTAGAGTGAGATAAGGAAGCTGATCCAAAGCACAGTAATAAAAGAAAAGGAAAATAATAAGGGGAAAATGTCTGTCTCCTTAAATGTCTATCCTTCTGTGGAAATGATGTGGTGATAGCTCTCTCTTGCTATTGAGTTTTCTCTAAAAATAAACTGGGATGTCATTTGAGCTCTTCCAAAATGTAGCATGCAGAAACTACATGAAGAATTAGGACAGAGCGGTGGAGGAGAGAAAGGTCAGCAGACTGACTGGACATGTTTGGGGTTGTGGCTCCTCAGATTACTTGGTAATGCTTCTTAGAGCAAAAACTCTGGTTCGTCTGGCGGGAGACTAGCAAGCATCCCTGAAGACTGACCTTTCTGATGACCAGGGTTTTCCAAACTGTGAGTGGGACATGATCGGCTGGAGAACAAGGAATGAATTCAGGATTGTTACCCAGCACCCCTGAAAAAAATCTCTCTCAATTTTTCCAGCTTCCTCAAGTTCAATCTCTTTGCTTCTCCAAGAAGTTTTTTATTTCAATTTCTTTGGATTTGCTTCTTACACACGACAAAGTATTGATCTTTCTGCAGTGCCCTGTTGGTATTACTTAGTTTCCCAACTTTAGATATTAAGGCTCAGCCTACAGTTATAGAAATTTGCAACAGAAATGCATAAAATTTGGAAGTGATTCTCCTTGAAAGCTAGCAGCACCAAAGCAAAAGATTAAATATGTAACCTAAGTGAAGCGCAAAGCTTCTTGAATGGGAACTGACTAAAACTGGACGGTAAAACCCGAGGGTGCAGACTGCAGGAGGACCGCTAGATGACGGTAACGTAACTCCTACAGCTGCAGCTATTCCTGGAGCTCCTCCAGGAGCTGCCTGGGGTTTCCTAGCCGCCTGGGAAATAAAATGTTTAACTGAACCGTCTCACTTCTCCCACAGCTCACCTGAACGCCTTCATCAACCAGAAAGCCAGCAGGCGCGGCTTGAACTTTTACACTCGGGGGTTTGGGCAAATGGGGGCGAAGTGCTGCTGGAGGAGCACGGAAAGGTTTCTGTTCCGTGGGACAGTCACAAGGGGCTGGCTCTGGTCCCTGTTTGCAGCTGGTATATCACCCTGAAAACCATCTTAAAAATAATTAAACACTTTCCTAAAGTTACTTTTCCATGAAAGCAAGTGCTGTAGTTGCCGCAAAGGTATTGAACAACCGTGTTCTCCAGCCTGTCCAGTTCAAGAACAGGAAACAGCACAATCTCTGCGCTTGGGTTTGATCAAGTTATGAATTTCTCCATGCCAGCATGTCCTTTAGAGGCATATCATGCAGGGAGAGGAGTGGGGGAAGAAAAAACTGAATAAATTCACCCCAGGTTTCTGCAGGGTTGGTGTACTTGTAAGAGCAGGAAGCAAGACCAGATCCCAAATGACAAGTGGGCTGCATGGAATATAGCCCAGCTGATGATTTCAGTTTTGTGTTCCTAATTGCCAGCTGTTGCTTCATGGAGAGCAGATAACTCTCTCTGGATTGATGATATTGTTTGATGTTAGTGATATGCAATCCATATGATGGTGAATTTACTAGATTCAAGTTTAAAATTGTTATTAGAATAAAATTTTCGTATTCAAAAATGTTTACTTTCCAGCTCCACAAAAGCTTTTTCTTCCTAAGATGACTTCCTCAAAATACTATTTCACATGTGATGAGGAACAGTGCTGGTGTTAGCAGTTGTGCTTTATAAACACTTTGTTTCAATGGGTCAGTTTAAAAAATAGGCTCATAGACACAGACTGACATGATGTGCCACAGCAGATTGGAGAAATTACTGAGAAGGAAGAATGAAAAATCATAATTTTAATGCTCAGGAAGAAATGTGCACATCCTATGAAGATGAAGGTGACAGAGCAAAGATAGGAGGGCTAAACGATGGAAAAGGAAAACCTGATCTAGTAGCCAAACCACGAGGCTGTAAGTCAGAAGCTGCAAGCCTTTCGAGCTGTTTTCTCACAAACCCAAACTGTGTGACTTCAGACAAAGTCTCTTTAAAACTTTGCCTGGAGGGCTGTCATTTTTGCAAAGGGACCTGTATCAAACTATGCACTTACAAGAATACAGACACTGACACTGTTGGCTCACATTTGTTTCTTGTCCTAAAACATGCTTGCAACACAGCTGGGGTCTTATCATCGTAGCAAAACACAGTTGTTTTTAATGGTGATACAATAGAAATAGGTCAGAACTGAGTCATTTGACACTGGCTCATTTAAAGGCTAGACATGTCACTAGTCTCACCCTTTGAAAATGTCAGTTCGGAAATCTGTGGAGGAGAGGCACTGCAGAAATACAGGGTTGTGCCACACTGCCAAAGGAAGATAAAAAGGGAATGAACCAGACCCACCGTTGCATTAAATATTTGATTTAGCATCTGTTTTAAACTGCTATCAAATGAAACAAATTATGGTTTAGTCTTCATTTAGAATTTGTTTGGTGTTAAAGCACAAACCAGTTTCAAAGTTAGGTCAGATCTCTGGGCAACCCAGAAGAATTTATCTGATTTTTAGATAGTGTTTATTCCATCCGCTTGTGAAATCCTAAAGGAAATACACTCAGCTATCTAACCAACTAATATTTTGGTTAATCAGATTGCCTGTAATCCATAAAACTTCATCCTCCTGAGGGGAAAAGGATGATTTGTCGTTGCTGCTTCTCTTACTTTGTCCATTTAACCAGCAGTAATTTAATAATGCTATTATTTGATAATAGCAACTGGGTCATTGCTCTTATTGTCTATTAGAAATCAACATTAGCAAAATGATTAAAATATTAACTTTAAAAGCTGTTTTCTCCGTTCCTGTGTGCTATTATAGCTCCTTAGATATTTTTGTTCACCCTTCAGTGACTTTCCCATTTCTTTCCTTGGTTTTTGCAACCATTACCAGTTGTTGTATTCTACATCAACAACACAGTGATGATTTAACCAATTTTTCTATGGTTAATTTCCTAAAATATCAACCATATTGAATCCTTAGTATTTCTGGCCAGCAGCACCTTTCCTCAGGTGAATGTTGTAGTTTGGTGTTCAGGAAAACATATTCTATGCCATATCCTTGCAGTTTGTTGACATGTATGTGTGTTTTTTCCGTAATCTTCAAAAACGGGAAGTGGGGAAGGAACGGCAAAATAAATTTCTACTTTTGCAAGACTTTTTTTTTTTTTTTTGCTTTGCTTTTCACTCTCACTAGGGAAAGTGAGTGCCTGAACGTCAGACCCTACAAACTGAAGGAAGAATCCCCTTACTCACCCAGCAAGTAATGCATAGGCAACAAGAGCAGATGTCTTGTATCTTCCCACAAATGCTTTCAGCTGGCCCAAAAAGAACATTGTCAAGCAAAAAAGGAGAGCCAATTTATTGTATCTAGCTCAGATGTCAGTTTTACTCCTGAGTTTGAAAATATCACTGTGATGCAGAGACCATGTAGGTGGTAGGTTTGCTTTTCTCTCCCCCCAATGCCCCCAATTCCCCTACCTGTTATTTCCCAAGTATGATGGTGGCTGCAGAGCAAAAATGGCTGCTGTTCAACAAATCAATTTGCAACAGTCTTAATACAAAGTTCACCCAACCCAGGACTGTGGATCCCAAAATTGCATTCCACCAATCTCCCATCTAGATCCCAGGAGCTGAAATGATTTGGGTAGAAAGGACCTGAAGAAAAGTATGTCAATCTGTCCCATTTTTCAGAAAATACATGGAGTCTCTGGACTTCTGCTGGACAAGGCCAGCATGGCTGTGGATGCCCATGTCGTGGATGCTTACACCACATGCTGCTTTGCCTCGTAAACTGCTGGTCTGATGCCATTGCTTCGGAGCGGCTCTCATCTTTGCCGATGATTAGTCAGGTGTGCGATTTGGCTTCTGAGAGTTTTAATCAACTTGTAAGTAATGTAATTTATTCAACTATTGCTATTACTCTGAGCAAAGTCCTGTTGCCAATTAGTGTTCTTACTTAATTTAGTTGACATAACAAGACTGAACATCATCAAATATTTACATCTTCTGCAATGTGGTAAACTTACTCAGGTCTCCGGTCCCAGAATCATGAGATTATGTGAAAACTAGAGTTTTAAGGTGAAACCCATCTGATTATAATTGTAAACTAAGAACATGTGCCTTGAGTCCTTAAAAAATGCTTCAGACTGGACATATCTCCCCTTTAACTTTTAAAAATGAATATTCTAAATAGACAGGTTTTTAGGGCTGGTTGGTGCACTGCTCACACCTGCAGCCACATAGACCTGCAGTGTGTCCTTCGCCTTTTCCTTCTACCAAACGCAGACTGAACTTGTGCCTACATGGATCTGTTGGAGTGGGTCCAGAGGAGATGGAAGATGATCAGAGGGCTGGAGCACCTCTCCTATGAAAACAGGCTGAGAGAGTTGGGGTTGTTCAGCCTGTAGAAGAGAAGGCTCCAGGGAGACCTTATAGCAGCCTTCCAGTACCTAAAAGGGGCCTACTGGAAAGCTGGAGGGGTACTTTTTGCGAAGGCATGTAGTGACAGGACGAGGGGTAACGGTTGTAAACTGAAAGAGGGTAGATTTAGGTATCAGGAAGAAATTCTTTACTGTGAGGGTGGTGAGGCACTGGAACATGTTGCCCAGAGCAGCTGTTGAGGCCCCATCCCTGGAGGTGTTCAAGGCCAGGCTGGATGGGGCTGTGGGCAGCCTGGTCTAGTGGGAGGTGTCCCTGCCCATGGCAGGGGGGTTGGAACTCGATGATCTTTAAGGTCCTTTCCAACTTAAACCATTCTATGACTCTATGATTCTCTCCCCACAGTCTCTGCCAAATATGAAGACAGCGACTGTGCACGCTGCAGCGTCAAACGTTATCTGACGCGGGAAAAGGCCGTGTCCTTGAGGAACGCGGTCAAGTCATCGTGCCCCCGAGCACCAGCGCGGCATCGCAGTAAGCCCTCACAGGGGACGCAGCCAAGTTTTTAAGAAACTCCCTGCAGAAAGCGGCTTTTGCGGCTGCATTGAGCAAACCTCTTTTATTTTGGGGGGTGAAACACACCGGACCCTTCAGCACTGACGTGAACTTCCCGCCAACCCACCCCAGCGACGCTCCCACGAGCGGGAGTTCCCTCAGCCAGCGGCGCCGCGGCCCCTCCAAACGCGTTTCCCGGTGCGGCCCAGCGGGGCGGGGG